ATATATATATAATATATATATATATATATATATATATATATATATATGTTACAATGTTTCTCAGCTTGAACTGCACATACACCGTAGAAAGCCTTTATTCAATTCTGTTTTTCGTATGCAGGGCCCAACGCATATTTCTTCGCTGCTTTCTCTGTTTGTTTCAGACACCTGAAGGTCCACTTAGCTGGGAGTATTCTCCCGCTGTTGAAGTTAAAGCTGACGAACATAAAGTCAAAGAAGAAGAAGAAGAAAAGAACAATCAAGACGAGACGAAAGCAGAAAAATTAACAGAAACTCTTTTAGAAACACCCCTAGAGATTCCTTCGGTTGAGACGTCTCTCCCAGCTGCCTTACCTGTTGCAAATAAAGAAGAGGAAGGAGCAGAAACGAACAAAGAAAAAGAGAAAAAGATAGAGGCCCCCAAACCACGTAAACATGTGGCGTTCTCGTTACCAGAGAAAGAAGAAAAAACAGAAGAAGCCCTTGATACAGCAGAAGAGGAAGACTTAGTGTTGCAAAAAGCAAGAAAAGCAGCAAAAAAGCATTTTAAAACTGAAGAGCAACGAAACCTTTATATAACTATGGTTAATGCTGTTAGACTTCAATATCAAATTCTTCAAGAACAACAAAACTCGCAATCTATTTCTATTTCTCAGCCTCAACAGCAAACGGTGCGTTTATATCTCAAAAGAATAACAAAGTTTTAAACTCTAACAGGAAAATAATACGAATTATTTTTGTTTGAATATGTTTAGTTACTGCGTTGTGCTAAGCGGCTACTAATAAAGCTATTAAACTATGTTTAATAGTTTAATAGCTAATTAGCCCTAAACCTAATAAAATAAATATGCATTTTTGCTGTTCTTTTTGTTTCACAGCCAGCTACAACGTATAGACAACCTCCTCCTCATGATAATCTTGTGTGGAGAGAAGTAAAGCAAGCGTCTTCAGCTGTAAGCAGTTCTTCTTGTGCTTTTAATCAACTACGAACGCCTAATATGCAAGTGAGTGAGGTTTATTCAAATAAATATGAAGTGTATTTAAATGCCTATGTACAACCAAGCATTTATTAATAAAGTTATTAAACATATCTCTAAATTTGGTCAGCATAACATACATACAATATAATAAAGCAATTAATAATTATAAATTAATTTATACTCTTTAACAAATAATCAATGTCTGTTTTATAAATGCATGCGTTATATTGAATAAATAGACAAACATATTATCAAACATATTTATCTGCTGTTTCTTTGCTATTTACCTCAACAGACAAACACAAACGCATCTGACAGACAACTCAATTGTACAAACTCTAACAATGAAGAACATTATCATTTCTATGTATGTTAATTCTTTTCTTCTCTGCTGTTTATGCAGACAGCCCACAACATAATCCCTCGTAAACACCAACAGAATATAAAACAAATTGTATATATTCATTCAACAACATACTCAGTGCTACTTTATAAATATACATATATATACATATATATGTATATATATATATATATACATATGTATATATATACATATATGCATATATATATATATATATATATATATGTATATATGCATATATATATATATATGTATACATCT